AATTTAAATTTCTTCTAATTAAGATATTATATTATATAATTTTATTTATTATCTTGTTTGTATTAATTAATATATCTATACTATATTATAAAGTATTTGACAAAAAAAAAATTAAAAACCATTTTCTATGCATGAAGTACTGTTTATTGATGCATATTACTTAAAATTCAAGATTACAAGTAAATTATGCATAAGTACAACTTATTAAAACTTCATATTTGAATTCGTGTAACTAAATGCGGATAAACATAATCAAATAGTGGATAAACATCTCATTTTAAATATAAAAAATCCAAAACATAATTTAGATAATAATTGAGTTGTAACAAAATACTTAATTATTATCTTAAATAAATTATTTTATTAAACCAAAAATAAATTAGTTCATTTTTAAACTTCAGTTAAATTATAATAAAAAATTGAATTAAAAAAATTATACAAAAACAATAACTTTTAAATAGTTAATTTGATATTAATGTTGCTTATTTTTTTCAAAATTTTATAATATCTTCAACTTTATATTTCATTAAAAAATAAGAATATTTTTTTTCCTCAAAAGCACATAAAGTCGCATTACAAAATCGATAGACCCAAAATATAAAACGAAACATTATAATCAAGATGTATCTCGCTACATTGTATGAGTACCTTTTTAGTTATATTATTAATCAACTGTTTTAAATATATTATAAGATATTAAATTTTTTTAATTTTTAAACAATTTTTTTATTGTTTACATTTTTCAACTAGATTATCAATTAATTTTTAATAAATATATTAATCTAAAAATTAGTTTATCAATTATCAAAATACCCCTCCATGAACTAATCAAAGCCTCCCACTAGTGCCCTGTGTATAGAAGTCGGCGCCACCAACATTCTCCCCCTCAACTCAACCATTTACTAACCATATTTTGGTGTTTATAAGTTAGGTTGATCGGGTTGAGGATATTTAAACAATTCAATCTAATGTTTGTAGTTTGGAAAAATCTTAACCTAACTTAACCCGTACGGGTTAGTCAGGTTGATACTTTGGTATATTAAAATATTCTTTTAACCTTAAATATGTAATTTTTTCTACTCATAATTTCTTTTTCATCATCAACGATTTGATACAACTTATTCATATTTCTTACGTATATCACATTCAGTTAATTTTCTCAATTTACATATATATGTTCACAGTTATTGAATGAGTTATATAGAGATATAAATAGATTGAAAATATGTGTATATGAAAAGCATACATGATAGTGTAATTATAAATAGATTGAAAATATGTGTATATGAAAAGCATACATGATAGTGTAATTGTCTAATGTATATATTAATAAAAATTCAACAATCATATTAAATCCAATAAATAAAAGGATATCGGGTTCATCAGGTTGAGTTGAGTTTAAATAATAGTAACCCAATATTAACCTAATATCTACGGTTTGACAATTTTAAAACTCGATTAGACATCGGGTTGCTTCGAGTTAGATTATTTCGCATTGGATTAGATGGGGTTGGTCGGATTGGTCGAGTTTTTGAGCACCCCTAACTACCACCCCTAATGACTATTGATGCTTCCTTCACCAGTTGTATCTCGTAATGGCTTGTTCTATTGAAAACCATTATGGGTTTCTTAATAGGTAGTCTTCCTAATGACATCTACAAGAAAAGGTAGAGGATTTAAACAACTTCTGCTGTACGATATAATTTGGGAAAAGTCCAAAAAAACCCAATGGACTTTACTGATTGGAATGATTAAGTCCTTGAACAATTTTTTGGAACAAATAAACCATTGAACATTTTAAAACCTGTTAAATAAATCCTTAGACTTTTTAGAATTTGTTAAATAGATCCTTATTTGTTTAAAATGTAACCTGTGACCTGAAGAGTAGGTAAACCCAAATTAAAAAAAAAAACCCTAATATACTAAAAAAGAGACATGAAGAGTAGGTAAACCCATCTCACTCATCGTCTCCCTCTCGTCTCCACACCACCGTGGTCCGTGACCACTCATCTCCTCCCTCTCGTGACCACCGCTCCCTCCCGTCTCCTTCTCCCTCACACACCGTCGTCTCCCTCGCCCGCACCACCGCCGCACCACCCCCGATCACCAGGTTGGCTTCCCCTTATGTCTGGAATCACGAGTGTCTCCCCGATCACCAGGTTAATCAAATTCATTTGCTTTACTACCAACTAAAACCATCTTATATTAAAAAAAGTCCCAGAAAATAGACCCCGAATCCCTATCAAATTCATCATCTTTTTTATTCGATTCATTTCATTTAATCGTAATCCCTTTTCTTTGACCAAATAATTTGATCCCCTTTGACATTTTCCCCATTTTCCGCCTCCAATACCAACCTTTCTTGTTCTTCCAACCAAAGCCCACAAACCATTTTACTTCTTTCAGCAAATTCCCGAAAGAAAACCTGCAAAGATTAAGGATTTACACAGTGGGTAAAAGGGCAAACCCTCTGTTCTTTCTCATTCATTAAGCTCCTTTTGTGATTCAGACACCACCATTGTCTGATTACAACAATGCAAGAAGAAAACTTGCGATTTTGACCATGATTTCTGAGGTTTTTGAGGACCCATTTCATGATTTGAGCTTGTGGGTCTGCTAGAAATCCGATCTTTAGTACTTGGTACTTTGCTTTTCTTGTCAAAGATTTTGAAATGGACATATAATAAAAACAGGACCAATTCCAATTATGGTTGGAGATTCAACGTGAGATAAAAAAAAATGAAAGATTGCAGAGTGAAGAAGAAGAAGCATACATGATGAGAAACAGGAGGGTCAAAGTGTTCACGCTTAATCATGTTGGCAAGCATTAGAAAGTCCAAGGACTTATTTAACAGGTTTTGTAAAGTCCAATGACTTATTTAACAGGTTTTAGAATGTCCAATGGTTTATTTGTTCCATAAAATTGTCCAAGGACTTAATCGTTCCAAACAGTAAAGTCCATTGGGTTTTTTTGGACTTTTCCCATATAATTTTTATAAATTAAAATTCATTTAAAATTTTAAGATTTACCAAAATTACTTAACTTTACAACTTAGGTAGTGTTTGGTACGCAGACAGGACAAGACGGAACAGGACTAAGGGGTTGTTTGGCAGTTGCTGAATGGTTTAGTGCAAAATTATTAAGTGGCTCTCATGATACAAAATTATTCAGAGTTTTAGAATGGTTAAACTCATGATACAAAATTATTCAGAGAGTTTTAGAATGGTAGTGCAAAATAAAATATAATTGTTTGATAATTGTTTACAATGAAATTAGGGCGTTGAATGGTTAAACTCATGATACAAAATTATTCAGAGAGTTTTAGAACAATTAAAAGACAGAATTTTTTTTCACCAAACAATATTCACATCATAACGATTCAGATGTTATCTCTTAATGAAACTATTAAGAGGTAGACAAACAACCCCTAATTGTGTGTCCTATGTTTGGTACGACTAGGACAAGACAAAACAAAACTGTTAAAATGACCATATTACCCCTAAATGTTGTTCAATGTTATTTTATATCATCTAATGATTGTAAAATGACAACAAATCAACCAAAACATATTTTATTTACATAATTTTTATAATCAAGTTTAATACATTTTTCATATGCATTTGTCTACAAACAATGACCTATTATGGAATTATAAACCATTATAACTCTAGTACACTTTTGATATAAAGCACTCTTATTAAAAGGACTGTTCTTGGCATGCTTGTACCAGCATTGCATAGGTTAATTACAAGCCCCCCTCCATTTCAACTAATATAAGAAAAAAGCTTGAATTTTGGGACAATTTCCATGAAAACCAACATAAGTCCACAATAAAACCCAATGCTGGAAATAGCATATTCTTCAAGAACAGAAGCAATGCGGGAAATAGCATATTCTTCATGAACAGAAACAATGCTGGAAATAGGCTTTATTGAGAGTAATCAACTTCCGTTTCGCTTTTTATTGTTGGTTAGCCTCGTGATTTCAAGGGTTTTGATCAAAAAATTTGATTGGAAAAAAGATGAAATCGTATAACGACTTGAATTTCTTCTTCATCTATCACTCTCGTTTCAACCGGTA